GTGTTCTTCTTGCACAGGGTTTGACAGCTGCTACAAATGGCAAAGTCAGAGAGCTTTGAGATCATCATTCATTCATGCCCACTGTTCTACCTGTTCTTCCCCGAGCATGGCAGATATCTTTCCAGCACTCTGATTGCCTTTTTGGAGTCTTTTTATCCACAGAATGAGCTGAGTTGAAATGGTGGAATTGTGGCATTGGCAAGCAGGTCAGAGTCACGTCATCTCGCCTCCAGGTGGACGGGCGAGTACCACCGCCTTTTTCCTAGCAGAGGCTTTCCTGGTTCTTCTTGCCCCATGATCACGGAGGACAAAAGATGACAGAGACAGCGTTGTTCTGCATGCGGCTCATTCCAGTTTTAAGCAGGTCACAGAATTACGAGTTCAAATCTGTAATTCCTCTCCAGCACCACACAAAAGCAACCTTTCTTGTGGAGGCTCTTTAAATACCAAAGAGAGCCCCTATCCTTTCCTCCTCCCTGTTTTCCTCATCCTGTTAAATCTCTACAGTTTCTTTAGCCCTGTCCAGTGGATGTAAAGTTTCTTCGGTGTGTAGAACAGTCTTCTGAAGTGCAGCTTCCCTCAGTGTTCAGCCTGAAGTGGCCCCAAAGCGGGAAGCATCCTCCAGGCAGGTGCTCTCTAACTCCCCCTGCAGGAGATTGAGTAAAAATGGCTCAAACAGTCTATCAAAGCAGACGCCCCCTAACCTCCTTTCTGGGAATCAGAAACACTCAAAACAGAGAAATGAGCTCTGCACGATGTATTTGGAATAAAGACCCATTTTCCAAGCCCATGGAGAGTAAATCCTGGGTGGCAATGATCTGAGACAGAGGCTCGTGCAGAAAGAGGTTTTAGAATAAGGCTGAGAAAGCTCCTAACTTCTGCTCAGGCAAGTTGGCTATGAACTTAGGAACATGGCTTTGTTTTCTTTCAAAATTGCCAGTTTGTCATTTTGAAAATGTAAGACTAAATCTCCTTATTCTTGCTATTACCTGAGATCCTATTCTTAACACTTCTTATTTTCTGTTAATATGCCCAGTTGTTTTGCCCACTTGGGTTGCTTCTGTCATCATTGGTGTAGGGCAGATTCCTGGATTGGCACCTCCAGGGCTAAACTTCTTCCCCACCAACAGCTTTGAAGTTTCTTTCTGCAGTAGACAGTGCAGACGACCAAAGATACCCACAGACAACCAGGAGTCTCTGAAAGGATCTGAGTGTTAGCCTAGGCTACGACTGGGCAGACTGACCTCAGTGATTGCAGAAGTAGGTCAGGATCTTCTGTGCTCATCCAAATAGTATCTTGGTCTGGCTTGAGGGAGAGGTGCAGAGAATTTGTGTCCTTGGAGAAAACATTTAATGAAATATTCTCCACACCCGTCACTCTGGACTTGAAGAATGAATTTCATTAAAGATAAAAAGTAAAGATTTTCTTCTTAGAAGAAGAGTAGCTGAAGCAAAATTCATGTAGCCCAAAGTACATTCCCACATTGTCATGGTTTAGATGTGAAACAACTCCCAAAATCCTCATGGGTGTGAAAGGTGGCTGGGGCATGTGGGTACCGTACTCATTAATGGGTTCATCCGCTGTGAAGCGCAGTAGCTGGGCTTGCTGTTAGGAGGTGCAGCCCGGCTCGAGGCAGTCACCCGAGGCCGGACCTAGAAGAGCAAATCTCCCTCCTGGCGCCCACTCATGCTGTTTCTGCATCAGAGCCTCCCAGTCGTGGACTGAAAATGTGAGCCAAAGAAACCTCTCCTTCTTTAAATTGTTAGAATTGGGTATTTTGTCCCACTAACAAGAAAGTGACTAAGACACACACAAAGGCAAAAAGGACAAAATGCTTTTCTTTCTCCCCCTGGGAAATGTTGCTTAAGACTGTTTTCGTTGTTGTTGCTTCCCAGCACTCCCTGTGGCTGTACTTTTCCCTCGTGGGGCAGGATGTGACCCACTCAAAACACAGTGCAAACATACAAAGGTTATTTAAGCCCAAGCACCAAGGACTGAGCAGCTGGCAGTTCTGATAAAACTAGACACTTGATCCTAAAAAGCACTTCTGAAAAATCCATATGAAAGAAATCAAAGAGCATTATGAATCTCAAATTCAAGTTTGAATTGCCTTTGGCTGCTAGTAATGGAGAGAAGTACTAAAACCAGATGAGAAGTCTGATCTCCCACATAAAGGGAATCAGGGCCAATGTTGCTGCTCCTCATTAGACACTGTCACTCCTTTGTCTTTACATCCTTGGCATTGACTTCCATCTACAAAATACTTTATGGTATAATATGCCAGAGTTCCAGCCATCATATCTTCATTCCATTTAGAAAATAAAGAAGCAACAAGAAAAGGCAAAAAGACACCTATTCTCTGATCCCTTTTTAGAGAGTTTTCCAGAAGGCCAATCCAGCAACCTCCACATACCTCTCATTGATCAGACACGGTGATAGCTCCAGAAAGGCTGGTAACATGACCTTTCAGAGCAGGATACAACCCCGAACAAAATGGGGTTTTGTTACCCTAGCAAGTATGGAGAATGAGTATTTGGTAAGCAACCAGTAGTGTACTACACGAAGGAGAAGCTGGTTGAATTGGAAAATAAAATAGATTAGATAAGAGTATCCCTGGGCTAGCACCCACGCAGTAAGGAATTTAGGAGATAAAAGAGTCGAAGAGTCCTCTTCAACCTCTTGAGTCTACATTTCTCCTCTCCTCTAACCTGGTCCTCTCCTTGAGCACACAGGAAGTACAGACTGACTGGGGACATTCAGTCTGATGTCCACCGGAGAAACTGGCTTTTGATAGCTATTACCCTGCATGGAACAAGAAGCTTCAGGTTTTTCACATCATTTGTGAAAATATTTCTTTAACCTAATAAAGACAATAGGCAATTTAACTTCTGTATCACAGCAATGTTGCGATATAATAAGAAATAAACATTTGGCCTTCATCCATGGTTCTCAGCAAAGAGCTCCTGAAACCCTTCAAATCCTCTGAGTGACAGAGTATCTTTTATTATTCATAATAAGACTCAGCTATATTTGCATGCTAATGAGGTAACTCTTGGAGGATTCTGGCTGGCTACCAGAGAAATCAACTTTGTGATTAGATGACTGAAAATTTCATCCTGCCCTCTGCCCTCTGCCCTCTGCCCTCTGCCCTCTGCCCTCTGCCCTCTGCCCTCTGCCCTCCAGCAAAGAGAGAGGGGCTAGAAATTGAGTTAATCACCAAAAACCAATGATGTAACCAATTGTGCTTATGCACCTGAGCCTGTATTGAGGTGCACATGGAGAAGATAAGGGGGCAGTACACATGGAGAGGGTTTCGCAAGCTCCACGCCCCTCCCCTATACCTTGCCCTGCGCATCTCTTCCACTTGGCTGCTCCTAAGTGTTATCCTCAAGTTTATAATAAGCTAGTAATAGTAATTTCCCAGGTTCTGTGAGCTGTTTTTTGTAAATACTGACTCCAAAGGTGAAGCCATCAGAACCTCTCCTTTATAGCCAGTTGTTTTAAAGCACAGGTCACACAACCAGAGATTTGCAACTGGTATTTGAAGTAAGGGCAGTTTGAGGGAGTGAATCTTTAACCTTTATTGTAGGACATCCAGTTGGTGTTTGGAAAACCAAGGATTTCTTAGTGTAAAAGAAAAAAAAAACATAAATTTGACTTTAAAGTGTTGAGCAGAGGAATAGTGTTCTTTTTAGTTACTCTATACAGATATATGAAAATGCTGTCACCCAGTTCCTTTAAAATATAGTTTCATTCAGATGTGTGAAATACTTAGGGCAAGATTATCACCAAGGTAAAGTGAGTTTGGACTATATGATGAAAGGCAGACATGAACTGGTTCTTTAGTCTGCTACTGCTGCTCACTTCTCAGCTTTCTGAAAGGGAAGGCCCCGGTACCAGCTCCCAAGACATTACCCATCAGCTAAAAATCCTCACACAATTGGTAGAGTGGCAAAGTAGAGCTCTTTCAGCATTAGCAGTCACTGGGCTCTGAATGGCAGCAGTTACTACCTGTTTTGGTGTTGATTCCCCTCCTTGGACTTCGGAACTCTTCAGGCCACCAGAGAGGACAGCTCTGGCTATTCTTTGGTACTCTCTGCCATTCCCTGCTGTTAGCCATATCCAGTTACCAGCTCAGGCTGCGGGCAGCTTTCAGCATCAGCGGCCTTAGGTCACTAGTGTACCAGTTTGGCAAGACAGAAATCACAAATAGGCAAGACTATGCCATCTAGAAGAGGTTTCACTAGGAATAGTACATAGGATGAACGTGTTAAGGGTAGAGGGAGTTGGTTTATAATGAAAAAAAATCTCACCCATGCCCAATGTCAGATTTTCTGCATGCTCATGGGAAGGGGAGGGATCCCCAGGAGACCTAGATGGGGAGGCTGCAGAGTAGTTCGCACCTGTAATGCCTGCCACAGCTAAAGCCAACACCTCCCCGAGAGGCTGTGTGGTGCCTGAAGTAGCCCATGTTGTCTGCAAGGTGTTTACGTGGAATGAAAGTGGCTTTTGGAGAGTGCCAGGGCCTTCTCTCCTATCTCATGACACCTTATAGAAAATAACCATCATCATGAATTCTACTCAGCTTAGCTTTCTTGTTACTAGTGTGAAACTTCTGAGCCTAGCTTTATTTTTTAAAATCCCTATGTATAGGAAATTTCCAAACCATTTTTAAGGTCATAGGAGATTTTTGGTTTCTGTTCATATACTTCAAATAACAGCATAAACATACTATTTTACGTATTTATTTCATAAAACTGGTTTTGAATGAAAAAGGGGTTGACCATGACCTTATAGTGCTCAGAATTTCAGAAGTTTGACAATAACAAAGTATAAGAACAAGCTTTCTTACTCTTGCTAGCTAACATCTCCGAACTTAAACCTAACCTTAAACAACTCACCTGTTTATTTTTTTAATTTTTATTTATTTATTTTGTGTGTGGCCAGTTCAGCCCACCAGGGGGCGGGGCTGGCTGGCATGTGGTGCTGAGGGATTGAACCGCGGTCCCTGCTTAGCTTAAGCTTGTTCTAAGTAGGTGCTTTAGACCACTGAGCTATCTCACCAGCCCCTCACCTGTTTAAAGAAGAAAGAAAATCTACGTATGAAAATTTTAAAATGTTGATTTCTGACATTTTTTCCTATGATAACCTTTGAATCCTTTGGTTAAAAAAAAAATTTACTGTAGGTTCTTCAAAAACATCTACTCCAATCACACACTATGTACATGTGTAAGAAAAACATTGACACTGAGTGTCCCCGGTTGCCTTCATATGGGAATGCAGTTTTCTGTGGATGAATGTGTGCTAATATAATTTTTAGGGTATGAATACTTTAACTCTTTCTGAATGTCATGCCCCTATTTATTTCTTCTCAATCCAGAGCTAACTGGCTCAAAAGCCCAGATGATGATTCTGACCAGCTCTTCCGAATGGTGGCAGAGGTTTTCATCCTGTGGTGTAAATCTCATGTAAGAACTCTTTTGAGCTCTAGATTTAGGGTGGTTGTGAAAGCCTAAAAGACTTTCTTATAATGTTTGGTTTTTATTTTTAATTTCCTTCATTTAGAATTTCAAGAGAGAAGAGCAAAATTTTGTGATTCAAAATGAAATTAATAATTTGGCATTTTTAACTGGAGACAGCAAAAGCAAGATGTCAAAAGTAAGTCCTCACAGTCAGCTCTAAAGACTCTTTGACCTTGACCTTAGTCATGTCTAGAATCTATCCCAGGTTTGGGGGGATTAGAACTCTACTTCGTTTAGGTCAAACTCTGCTAGCAACAGTCTCTCCTGTTGTTGTTGTTGTTATTGTTGTTGTTGTTGTTGTTGTTGTTGTTGTTGTTGTTGAAAATGAACTGGAAGAAACAGCTCTTAAATGAGCGTGATCATCACATTTTATGATTAAATAACTGCTGGAATGTCAAAAAGTTTAAGATTTGCCTAAGGCATTCAAGAGGTCTCTAAAACAAACTTCATTTGATGGTTTTAAAATAGAACTACTTTCTGTGTAGTGAAGCTCTACACACGCAGGTGGATGCTGTGGTGGCTGCTGATAATCCCAGAGCTCTGGAAAGCTGAGACAGGATGATCACAAGTTTGAAGCACAAATTAGTCTGACCCTGTCTCAGAAATTGAAAACGACTAGAGATACAACTCAATGCAAGGACCTGGATTCAATACCTTGTGCCACAAAAGATAAAAATGAGGGGAAAAAATACACATACTTAGAACCACCTTTCCACTAGTGAGGAAGAAATAAGCTTGCTTTCACAATTTCAATAGCAAATGCTTTTACATTATGCTTGTTTTCCTCCTGTCTGGAAGGTCAAATGTCTACTTTTATTTTAGACGTGTTGAACTCTTAATGCCTTCTGTTTATTTTCCATGACAGTTGCACTCAGAAAGCCAAGCATTTGTCCACCTCCCTGTAGCAAATGTTTGAAAGAGGGCACACTAGACATCTGTCTGAAAAAAAGTAACCTTTAGGGAGGAGTGTAGCTGGGATCTGGGAGGGGGCAGCTGGCCTCTCGGCTGCTCTCAGGCCAGGACTGCACAGGAAGCTTCATTATTTGGATTGGAAAAGCCTCACAGAACACTCCTTCAGGTGTACATGCAAAAGTAAAGCCCCTTTAATTGTGATGTCTTCTTAATCATCCATTATTGCTTGCCCTTGAGTCTGTTTCCCTGAGAAATGGGCCTTGATGAGGGTTGACTGTATACATCAAAGATAAGTGACAGGTCACACCTGAGATGTATGTCTCTCTCATTGCTAAGACAGTGCCACCTTTGAGGGATGTGAGGGTGGGGTGTGCATGGGGACCTTCAGAAGCAAGATTTAGAGCTGAAAACAGGGGAATCATGGGTTTGTAGCAAAGATCTTAAGAATTGTTTCTGTAGCCACTTGGGATGAAAGACTGGTCTTTATGGAGTTACAGCCAAGGGGCAGATATGACATCACAAACAAAGGCCAGCAACTGGTGCTCCGCCAGGTGTGCTGCCAGCACTATTGTCTGCAGTAGTTCTAAACTTTCTGTCTCTTCCATGTTTTAGCTATGGTGACACTAGCACTTCTTCCAGCATCCAGAAACCAACTACTGGAGCTTAGAATACGCTCAAGTATGCACTAGTATTCACTTTGAGCATATTCACCATGCAATAGAGCCAAAAAAAATTGTACACATACAAAGCAGAGGAATTACATTCAAGAGGAGTCTGCACTGCAAGGAAACCTCCTCATGGATCCACTTGTGCTTCAGATAGTTTTATTTGATTTTCTAAAATTTATGTTATCATTCATGTTTCGGTGAATATATCTGCTGTCCATGTCAGACAGGCTTTCTTGGAGTCCAACTCCCTACATTATCCAGCTTGTATGAGGTTGCCTCTGTGGGCTGTTACAGCCAGCAAAGGCTCTCCTTATTTATTTATTTATTTATTTATTTATTTATTTGGTGCAGGGTCTCACTACACAGCTCAGACTGATAGTGATCCTCCTGTTTCAGCCTACCCAGCACTGGGATTACAGGTGTTTCATTGGCCAGCACAGTGCACCTGGGTTCTAAGGCAGGCATGACATGTGGTACTGGTGATCAAACCTGGGTCCTTGCACTTGCCAGGCAGGCACCTAGACCACCAAGCTGTCTCTCCAGCCCAGGCTGTCCTTTAATCCTGTCTTCCTACAGAAAGTCAGTAAATCCTAGGCAAATTTCATGCTTTCTTCAAGTAGGGTTGACTGGCTGGCTCAGGAATGAACCAGGTAGGATCTGTTGTGACAGACCATGATGGCAGCAAAGCAGTGAAAACAACACTAGTGGAGGGATTTGGATTTCCACTGAGCAAATGACAAAGACATCTCAGTGCTCCAATGATTAATGGAGACTCGGGCTCCCTGGGTTTACACTAGAGAGAGATGAGGTGACAGAAAACGACACATCAGAATTCACCTACTAACAAACTAATCTGGTGCTTTTGTTTATTCCCATCACTGACTGAGGAATTGGGATGCTTATTTTGTCAGCAAATGGGCATCTTCTCTGCTGGGAAAATTCAGAAGCAGATTCATTTCATTTCCATTGACATAATATGCCAATTATTTCTGAGCCAAAGATTGACAAAGAGAGACAGAGACACACAGAGAGAGAAAGAGAAAGAGATTGGGTCAAAACTATAATGTTACTGAGCTAAGAGCACTCCATTTACAGATCTTAAATAACATTTGCCATACTTCTCAGGGTGACAAGTACCCAATTGCATCAGTTGAAATATGGAGTGTAGTAGTAAGTAAATTGCAAATCAAAAGAAGCTGAGTTCAACCCTTGGCCCAGCTACCGACCTCAGATAATATCTTGCATCATCTTCTGGTTGCCAATTTACCAATCTGTACAGTAGTGTTGAGTTTACTTTGGTTTTTCTTAACTACCAAGACATTCAGGGCAAAAATCAGCTTTCAACAATATCTCTAGGACAGAATACTATTGGATAAACACAGCGCATTATTTAAGACAGAGAGGTATATGCCTCTCATCAGCAGCAACTCAGAGCCACTTCTGGGATTTCTTTATATGTAGAGTATGTATTGAGGAGCCAGGGAGGGAGCACGTATTCTTCCTTTTCTTTATCAGTGGAATCCCAGCTGCCTCTGACTCCCTGGGTTAGATGTTCTCTGTGCCCAGTGGCCTGGATGGGCACCTGTCTCCTTTGCTTGCTTTCTCCTCCACCCTACATGAACTCTGGTATTGTAAAAATGAAATCAGCCTCAGTGCACCCGGCACCCTTGGAGCGTTGTGCGTGATGAATGCTGCATGCTTCACACACTGCGCGTGCTCATGCCAGTAGAGATGAAATGGAAAAAATACACACGGGCCACACTCTGCATACTTGATTAACCAAAGCTCAGTTCACAGATACGTCATTTTCGAGGCACAGCTTGTACAAATGACGTTTTCAGAGCTCATTGTATATTTTGCTTATATAGCACCATTTTGCAAATACATGTTAAGCCAAATGTAACTAAGCTGAGCGAGTGTTTTGTTTTTGTTTTATTTTTAAACTTGTTTTGTTTTCTGGAAAAATGGCAGCAGCTTCCTCGGAGGGGAATGGTAAGTTAGAATATGCTTAGCCCAAGAAATGCCAGTTCCATGACCAAGGTTTAAAACTAACACAAAACAAGAGTTACAGAGCACAAATGCGGATGCCTCGTGGTCTAAAGCCACACTCTCTCCCAAGGATGATTGCAGTGCACTGAAAAGGGATAGGAATTAGCTCAGAAAATATCTTTGAATTTTTCAGGGACATTCGTAGTTATATCAGCTTTCTTCTTGCTCCAGTATCCCCTCTTCCTATTCTCATACTTTCTCCCTCTCCCTCTTCCTGTGTGTCTCTTCCTCCCTCATTTCCTCCTGCTCTCTCTTCTGTTTTTATTCTCTTTGTTCCTGTTGTACTTGCTCACTGGCACATTCTCTTACCTACCTTCTGCTCTCTAATGACCTTCCTCCTTTCCTTCCTCCCCATTTCTCTCTCTCTCTCTCTCTCTCTCTTTCTCTCTCTCTGTCTTTCTCTGTGTGTCTCTGTTTATCTCTGTGTCTCTCTCAGTATCTCTGTGTCTCTATCTCTCTGTGTCTCTATCTCTTTCTGTGTCTCTGTCTCTTTCTGTCTCTCTCTGTCTTTCTCTGTGTCTCTATGTCTCTCTCTCTCTCTCTGGCTCTGTGCTTCTCTTTGTTTCTCTGTCTCTGTTCCTCTCTTTCTCTTTCTCTGTCTCTCTGTGTCTTTCTATGTCTCTCTGTCTCTCTGTTTCTCTCTGTCTCTCTTTCTATCTCTCTCTGTGTCTCTCTCTGTCTCTCTGTGTCTCTCTGTCTCTGTGTGTGTCTCTCTCTGTCTCTCTTTCTCTCTATCTCTCTCTGTGTCTCTCTCTGTCTCTTTATCTCTCTGTGTCTCTCCGTCTCTGTGTGTGTGTCTCTCTCTCTGTCTCTCTGTGTCCCTATGTCTGTGTCCGTGTCTGTGTCTGTCTCTCTTTCTCTCTCTAATTTCCAGAAGTTCTTCTTTTCATCTCATATCTAGTGTTGGGTTCACTTGTCTTCATTAGCCCTAACAATGGGGTAGAAACTTCCCATGGTGCAGGGTTGTCTTTGTTCAAAAGTCTGAGACAAACTCCCTGTGTCATCTGGGTGCAGAATATCACCATGTGCTGTTTTCAGCAGACTCCCTTATCTTTGAAAAAGCCTATTTTTTCCCTCAACACATAATATCATCAGTGTCCTTATAAATTACTGCTCGTAGTTGATGATGTAAGCATAGAAAAAAGTTATTATAAAAGTATTGGAATTAGAGAATTGCAAGAGTCAGCTAATCTTAGCAATATGTGAAGAGTAAAAGTAGAATCTGTAGGATGTAGGAGCCTTGGACCTAAGATACTTTTAACAGTTACAGTCTGGGTGGGGAGATACTCCACCCTTCAGGCTGTGGGGTGATCCTGAGCCTCCTTACAAGTGCATTCCTAAGAGTGCCATTTGTTTTAATAGCAACCCTCTGAGCAGAAGCACAAGCATTTCTTCTCAACTCAGTTCTCCTTTTTAAGGTCATATATTTGTTGGGGTTGATAATATATGGTGGTGGAAGGAAGAATAGGGGCCTTAGGTTTCCTGGTAGATTGCCTGTTGCCTACCCTGGTTACTGCAAGGAAAGGGAAACATGTTAGCTCTACAGAGTTGTATGGGTGCCCAGATCTGAAGACCATGCTGGGTTGGGTCTCAGGACCTCTCACTCTGGAAGGCTGATCTCTGGGTTGGCTTCCCAGCAGGGGTGAGTTGCTTAGTCTGGGTATAAGTCCTTATGACCAAATTAACCACCATTCTAACCTCATTCTTGCTCTTCATTCTGTGCTCATTTGGCTCCAAGAATAATTGCATTTCTATTATATTGACTGATAAACTGGGACTGAGAAGATATGAATAACATGTGGTGCCTTGTGCCTTGGACTTCTGCTCTTACTGACTGACTTCTCCTTGTTTCTCTTCTTTTGTCTTTCCACACAGGCCATGCAAGTAAAGGTACAGGTCAAATGCATGATGTGTCTTTTCTGTCCTAGTATTAGAGGTGCCAGGCTCTGGCCCCTTCTTCACTGTGATCATCATGGGGGTGGTACAGAATGGATTTTCCCACCTGGAGGTCCCCAGGCCTGCTCCAGGGAAGACAACTGCCTATCAGAGTGAATGTAGGCCTACCCACCCTTGGAATGGGGAAGCCGGGGAAGCCAGCCAAGCCTCTCCCTAACCGAGGTCTCCTTGCTATCTCTGCTCCCTTCCCCAGCTGTCTTCTCTGATAGTTTGGCAGCCACCATGCTAACAGAGAGAGAGATGACTAACAGGGCTTGAGAGCCTGGGAGACCAGGGTCGTATTTCTTTGTCTTGTTGGTGGCCCTAGCTCTGTCACATGGTACACAGTCTGTCTCTTGTTCAAGGTCCCATGCTTCAAAGAACATCTTCTAAGACCTAAACTCAAGGGTTTGAAATCAACAGATAACCATAACCTTCTATACAAGCTGTTTTGGATAAAACTGGTACAATTTTCTAATTGCCCTTAAAAGTTACTATGTGAAAATTCCTTTCTTTCCATTCATCAATATGTATCTGCTACTATTGTCCTAAGCCAGTGGCAGAGAACCTGCATGTTGCAGTGGACAGTTTGTATCACTGAAAGCTCTAAAAAGTTCACCATCAAAACCCTACAGTTGGTGTTGGAGATAGGGAGGGGCCATACGCAGCTCTTAATTACAGAATGAGAAATGGAGCCTTGCCAAGATAGACTTGTATCTTGATACTTACGTGTTGTATGATATTGGGAAAACTGCTTAACTTCCATGGGCAACATGCTGTCCTTTATAAAACTGACTTGCTTTCAAGGTTATTGGAATCATATATATAACAGTTCTGATTAGAATATGAAACTGACCAAATGAAATATATAATGACAAGGAAATAAATTATGTAATCAAATCCACATAGCTACTTTTTAGCATATTTACTTCATATACACCTTGTATCATTATTTACATCTTGTGTTTTATACTTATATGATATTATATAGTTTTATAGTGTGTGTATATATATATACAGAATCGCATTCTTTCCTTAAGGGACGATTGAATCAATTTCAAGGGTAATCAACTATAAGTGAATTTGTGATTTAGACATATCTGTTAGATTTTGCCTTTGATGGTGAAACAGAAGAAGCCTAGCAAGTGCTCAGTAAATGGTAGAAATCGCAGTGTTTGTGAAAACCAGCCTTCAGGTCCACTATGTTCTGGAACATAGGACTCCTCCCTCCCTTAGCTTCACTTCTGTCTTCGTGTGCTCTTTTCACTGTCCCTCCCACTGCTGCCCTGGGGCTGCCCTGGTCTTCTGGAGCCCTGAGTGCAGAGTGTCTCTGCAAACTGTCTTACTGTATTTAGTCAGCCTGGGTTTTCCCAGTCGAGAGCTTTGCTATGATTTTTGAAACATAACAACCTGAAGGTTATGCTTCCACAAGGTTGTTGGAAGAAATCACATCCCATATGAGAGGGCCATTATTGGTTGTAAACCTCTCACACTTAGAAAAGTAATTAGAACAGTCCATCCAAAGGAGATGCTCTTCTTCAGGCAGCCCATCTCCTACAAAGTAAGCACTGAAACAGACAGCCCCTGGAATCCCCAGTCTTAAGTGCAATCACCTTTCCTGCTCCCAGGGTCCTGCAAACCAAAGTACTGCTACCTCCTTACTTTAGATAATGCCATAAAGCAAAATCACAGTGAGTACCAACTCCTTCCAGCATGGTCTCTGACTGATTTCTGACCACTTAGCCCTACCCACTCCCAGAAGGTGCTCATTCAGCTGAAGTAAAGTCCAGCAAGCAGGTGACACAAGGCCAGCACTGCCCTTTCTGAAAATGCATCATAAAAATTGGGTTGCCACAGCATCCCATTTCCTGGAGCCAAATTGCATGTGTTGTAGGTGCTGAAAACTCCTGGTTGTTGCCTTGGGCTGCCATTGTCCATAGTCCCATGTGCCAAATCTGTCTCTCATGCCTCCTACTCCAATGAATGAAATTTCTCTGGAAGGGTCAAGAATATGTACCAAGGACAGGTGTAAGCTCTCATGGGCTTGGGAAGTTCTTGTTTTACACGAAGCTCCTCTCTTAACATCATCCCACCCTGCTCCCAAGGCAGCCCTTCTCTAGAATGTCCTCTTTCTTGGAGAAGTTACATGATCCCTTGGTAGGGAGTCTCCAGTGCTCCAAACACTAGCTCCAGACCAGTAGCACTGTGGTATATGCTCATCACTTTGTTCCTAATTCTCCTGTAAGGGTCCCCACTTATTTCCCAAAGTCATTTTATCAGTTATCAAATTGTTCTTTTTACAGAACACCCACTTCCTTGTTCACTGGGTCCAGAAGTGTCTGTAGCGTGTGTCCAGTTACATGGTTCTGTATGCGTGTGCACAGGAAGAGGCGCAGGGCGGGCCAGGGAGCCAGCTCAGTGGCATAAGTGCCTGCCTGGCAAGCACAAGGGCCTGAGTTTGATTCCTGGTACAAAAACACAGAAGAGGCTCAGGGGTAGGGCTAGCTAGTTTCAGGGCTAGCTAGTTTGTCTTTGTTCAACACAGTCTTTCTGCTGTCTTTGAAATGTAGTGAGGCCCACCCCATGCTGACAGGACATAGTCTGCCCCTGAGATGAGATGTCCCCTGAGACAGTCATTGACACTTCTCTTTATTTCCACATCATCTCCTAGTCTGGAGGACAGGACCAGGAACGGAAGAAGACAAAGCGGAGGGGAGACTTGTATTCCATCCAGACCTCCCTCATTGTGGCTGCACTCAAGAAGATGCTGCCCATTGGTCTGAACATGTGCACCCCAGGCGACCAGGAGCTGATCTCGCTTGCAAAATCACGATACAGCTGTGTAAGCTGCCTGAGTGACTGGGCTGAGGTTGCAGCACAAGTGACATTAGGTGACCACTCAGCCTGGGAAGGGCTGGTCCTCCTGCTGGAGTGCAGTGGGGCTGGAGTAAGTGAGCAGGAACCAAGGCCCACAGAGGCAACACACCTTCGTTATCACAGTTGATTGGGGCTCAGTCATTTGGCAAAGCCTGTGCACTTTTCCTCTTGTTCTCATAAATATCCCAGCAGAGCTGCACTGGCTGTCCACACGTGCCTGAACCCTGCTTTGCATGTCTACATTGATCTCTAGGGATAAACTTTAACATCTCTTTCCACAGAGGGACACAGATGAAGAGGTCAAGGAGCATCTACGGAATAACTTGCACTTGCAGGAGAAGGTGATGCTGCGGGAAGACTGGGAGAACCACCCAGGCTGTTTTTCTCTCCAACCTCAGGGTTCCATCCTCCACTTAACATAGTCATGATTCTAAGTATTTCCCCAAGGGAGCGTGGAATGGGTAAAACTAGCTTCCCACCTTTAGTTTGTGCTCTTTGCTATTACAAAGAGGTACATGATGAAGCGTGTATTCCAGCCTCCCATCACATGAATGTCAAGCCGGTGGAGGAGGAGAGGAGGGGACACACTCTGCCTCAGGGGCACTATGAGACTCACTAAATGTGACACACACACCTGGGGATGCTTTTAGCACCTCCCACTTGAGAGAGGCCTTGAAACAAAATAATTTTGTGTCTGAGTTGGCATATTCAAAAAAGACAGAATTTTTATCTTAAGGGATATTCATGATTTCTTCAGTCTTGTAAATCTAAATAACTCTCCACTCACATACCTTGTGCCCCAAATGGAGAACTAAACTAACCCCAAAATGGCTTGCCTTCCCACCCCAAATTTATAGGAATGGTGAATAAAATAAAGGGTAAGGGCCTGGGAGATGGCTCGGTAGAATAAGCACTTCCCTGGCAAGCACAAGGGCCTGAGTTCAATCCCCGGTTACACCATAAATAAATAAATAAACAAAATAAAGGGTAAAATCAATAACAAGAAATCCCAAGGGGCTGGCAAAATAGCTCATGGCCAGCCAAATAGCTCAGCAGATTAAAGCACCTGTAAGCAGGTGCAGCGGCCAGGGGTTTGATCCCTGGGCCTGTCTTGCAGGCCCCATCCCCGGGGCATGCTGAGATGGCAATTGAGACTGGGTGTGGTGGTGCACACCTGTAATCCCAGCTCTTGGGAGGCTGTTAACAGACAGATCACTACAAGTCCAATCTATTAATAAGACCCTGACATCCTGTAGACCCTTCCCTAAAAATAAAAAAATAAAAAAATCCCAAGGGCCAGGGGAAAAGATATTCTGAATCTCAGTAATTAAGAGAAGTGGCTGCTCCTGGGAGAACTCACAGAGTGCTCCAAGCTCGATCTGCACCGCAGAGCTAGAGTGGTTAGTGACCTGAAAGGAGAAGTGTGGGACCTACACGAACACTAAGGGAGACACTCACACATGGTTAGCACCAAAGTGGCAGAACTCGTGGTTCTCCTGCAGAGATAGCTGGGAACTACTTGTAGCATCTCTGCTTCTTAAATAAAATATAGGCTAAATATAAAAGAGATAAAACTACTCTTAAAAAGACACCCATATGGAAAGTAGGAAGGAGAGTATGGGACAAGAGGAAGAGAACGGGGAGGGAATAATGGGGGGATAATGTGATCATAATATGTTCCATATGAAGATGCCACATTAAAACCCAACATTTGTAAAATTAATGGGCACAAGTAAAAATATATTTGAAAAGAAACTCATAAATCAAAGCATGTAAAAAATCAAAACATGAAATCCACCACCATCAGAGTCAAGAAATGCAACAGAGAATAATTCAAGAAATAAGGAACTACAGAAAGGTATTTAAAATAAATGCAGTTAACACATTTAGAGATAAAGCAAGCATAAAGCAATAGAAACTATAAAGGAATAATAGCACATTTTGAAAAAAGGAGAGTAGGAGATAGGTTTGAAACCAAAAAACCTCATAACAAATATAGTATTGAAATTTTAAAATCAATACGTGAGTTAAAAACAGAATAGAGGTCCAGCCAGATAGCTCAGTGGATTAAAGTGCCTGCTTGGGCAGATGGAGGGATCAGAGTTCAATCCCCCACATGCTGTGCCCGCCCTGCCCCCAGGGTGCACTGAGACCATGACTGAGACTGGGCGTGGTGGTGTGCACCTGTAATCCCAGTGCTTGGGAGGCTGAAAACAGGAGGATCACTATGAGTCTGATCTGTGTAGTGAGACCCTGAAAACCTGATACTAAATACATAAAAAAGAATAGAATAAACCAGCAGAAAGAGACATACAGCACAGAGAAATAAAGGGGTGACAAAAGAGTAAACAGTCCTGGAGGCTAGAATGAAGTTCCTGTGTGGCAACTACAGTGCTGCTGAAGACAATGACAGCGAAGGTGAGGGAGAGGCAAGGAAAGGGACTCACGATTACTATGGAGCCCTTGTAGTAACAACAGCTTTTTCAGTCTGGGAGATGTCAGAATTACATATCTCACGAGTATGTGTCCACTTCCAGTCTGATGACCCAGCTGTGAAGTGGCAGCTGAACCTCTATAAGGATGTTCTGAGGCATGAAGAACCTACTACTCCAGAAAAGACTGTGGAGCGAGTACAGAGAATTTCAGCAGCTGTCTTCCACCTGGAGCAGGTAAAAAAAATCTGCTCTGAGGAGGAAAAAAGAAAGAGAATAAATACAAGTTTTTCAACCCTCTGTTGCAGATGCCTTTGTAACACTGAGAAAAGAAGCAGCAAGGTGCATTCCGTGTCACCCCAGGGTTCATCTTGGTGCCTTATGGCAGCAGGCCCCTCAATACTTCCTTCTCCTGCTATTTTCAAAGCTCTTTTAAATAAATTTTTCTCACCTTCTATTATCAATGGGAGGGGAACAAGGAAAGGGGAAGGGAAGGAAGGGTGAAAGAATTTTTTAAAAGAATGGTGGGAAAAAAAGGAAATAGCACTTTCATAAGAGAGGAGGGGAAGAAGGTTTGTAGGGAGGGTAGGGGAATGGGAAGCATAATAAAAATACATTATGTCTAGGTACAAATTCCCCACGAGTGTGATCCTTATGTGTGGTAAACATGAGTGATACTTCAGGACATAAACACTTCTGCTTGCAAGCAATTGGGTTCTCCAACAAAAGCATTCAATAAAATTTTGCTGTCATTCACAAATTCCACACACAGCTCTGGCCATCTTTCCCACATGAACATAAATAAACAGCCACCTTCTCCAAATCATAAAACAAATTAGGTTTATGAGCCAGGGTACCTCTGTATGAATAAAGAAGATAAATTAATTTTTAACAAACTCTTGCCATTACCTCAAATGACTTAAGTCCCCTACCATTTGCAAAGCTGATGTTAAGAAATAATTGGCAAGGGCTGGGGAGATGACTCAGTAGAATAAGTGCTTCCCTGGCAAGCACAAGGGCCTGAGTTCAATCCCCAGTTCAAAAAAAAGAAAAGAAATAATTGGCGAATAACATTTGGGAGAAGGAAGAAAACTTAATACTTTCACGAATGTCATCATCTAATACTGAGTACATTGTGCTGATTGCAGTTGAGAAGCCAGAATCCTTTCAGGGTTGGGAAGTCTGGGCTCTTGCTGTCCCTCGGAGTGCCTAGTTTGAGCCTATCTGTGAACTTTCTTCTCAGGTGGAGCAGCCATTGAGGTCCAAGAAGGCAGTCTGGCACAAACTCTTGTCAAAGCAACGGAAACGGGCAGTGGTGGCCTGCTTCAGGATGGCTCCCCTCTACAACCTGCCCAGGTACAGGTTCTGTCATTTTCTTCTGCTGTGTGAGCCAGTGATGAGAGTGAAGGTACCTTCTTACAGCCATGCTGTCTTGTGGCCCATACACTCTTGATGCCAAGAACTGAAGTTAGACTTCTTAGCCCATGGAGCTATTACGTGCATAGTATAAAGCCCTGCCAAGCAACCCAGGAAAGAAAAACTGAAGCCAGATAAATTCTCTAGAGTCCCATGCCTGTTCAGCTTACAGTGTGTGTTGTAAAGTCAAACAAGGAAGAGTATGGAGGCTCTCTGCTTTGGCTGAGGTGAGATGCTCTGTGAGGATAGAATGGCTGCTTTAAAAAAGGAGCAGCATAGGGCCAGCGAGCAGCTCAGCAGACTAAGAATCTGCCTGGCAAGTGCAGCGACTGAAGTTTAATTCCCAGCACCACATGCTGTGCTGTCCCCACCCCGGGTGTACTGAGCTGGCCACAGAGTTCCAGGCATGGTGGCACATGCCTGTAATCCCAGCTCTGGGGAGACTGAAAATAGGAAGATCAGTAAGAGTCTGAGCTGTGTAGTGAGACCCTGTACCAAATACATAAAAAAATAAAATAAAATAAAAATAAAAGAATAAAAAGGGAGCAGCACAAACTGAACATTTAAAACATCTTACTGCAGATCCCATCAGCAGGTCAGGCAATGTTTCTCTGCTCTGACACTTGACACTATCAGCTAGAGAAATGTAGCTTGAGCAGTACCATCACTTACCATCGAAGTGAAGAAAGGCGAGAGATGCCACCCAAGAGTCCAGTCAGCAGCACAGTGCGCTTAGCTAAGTCCATGCTTTAAAGAAAAAATATTGTGAAGATTCTTCTGAAAGCCTGTGATATATCCCATGTCAGTGTGTGGAAGAGTATCAGTCAGTTTTCTGTCACTGTAACAAGATGTTTGAGGTCATCAACTTAAAAGGAAAAAGATTTATTTTCATGGTTTCAGAAGTTTCAGTCACTCTGGAGTCGCTTGGCCCCATTGCTTAGGGCCTGAAGCAGGCAAACGACCAGGGATTGAGTGGGAGAGTAAAGCTGCTCACCTCACAGTCACAGGGAAGCAAAGAAAAGCAGAGCGAGGAAAGGGCCAGATCCCCATGTCACCTTCAAGGGACTGCCCCAAATGACGTCAGTTCTTTCCATCAGCCTCACTTCCTAAAGTTTCTACCACCTTCCAGTATTGCCATAGGTTGGTGACTAATCCTTAAACATATAACCCCTGGGAGACACTTAGCAGTATCAGTGAGAGGGCAGTGGCCCAGCATCAACCACTGAGACGGCCTGGGTGTCTTTGGTGCTATGGCAACATCCTCATTCTCAGACTGATTACAGAGATGAAACCCATGATCAAAAAGCAATGCAGATGATCAAATATCAACCTCTGTTTCAAATTTTAGATCACTTGGAATATCCTGCTCTCATCAGGGAAAATAAATTGACTTGGAATAAGCTTATTTTGAATCCTATGTAACATTTGTAGTTCTTTGGATTATGAGCTAAAAGAAAACCTTATGTTTGACCTTTGTTTGCATCAAATTGTGGATCTTGGCCATCATTTTTCCATCACTTCTCTTGGCCCATTACCCTGTCTCAATCCAACTAGGATTTCTTAGAGTCTTCAAAGATGGTGGAGAATCATGGCAACTGAGATCTACACTTGCTTGAGCAGGACTCTTGGGAAACACATCACTTTGCCTTTGGAAGGGAATCACTGTAGAAAGCTGACAAATTCAGTTAAGCAATAGTAGACATGAAGGCTGCTAAAGACATAATGGAAAAGTAGAATTCATAATCCAGTAAAAAATTTTAAAATATATGGAGAAATTTTGTTTGTCATCCAGAAGTAATGAAATACGAGAAATCATTGACTTTCCATGTGTGGATTTCAGAAGAGCTTGGCTCTAAACAGTCTCCAGCAAGGCAGAAATTATCACTCTCCATAAAAGCAATGTCTCTAAACCTATTGAAAATGTTAATACCATGCTTTCATAACTGAGCTCCTCCAGGGATAAGAAGAAATTCAGAAATTCACTATGTCCTTGAGTAAACATGGCCGCACCATAAGACATCTAGCCCAGGTGTCTTAGGAGGGTTGTCCTGGGCCTTCACTATCCTAGAGGAGTCTAAGCAAGCTTCATAGGGCTGGGGAGATAGCTAAGCAGTTTAAGCGCAAAGACCCAAGTTCAGTCCCTGGTACTGCATGCCATAGCACAACCCGGGGGTCCCCTGCTGGCCACTGAAACTGAGAGCAGTGGCACACAACTGTAATCCCAGTATTGGAGAGGCTGAGACAGGAGGATCACTGCAAGTCTGAGCTCCATAGCAAAATCTTATACCAAATAAATAATTTTTTAAAAGAATTTTTTTAAAAAGTAGGCTTCATAACAGTGACAACTAAGAAGCTGATGCTAGAGATAGCTGCTTCCTCACCTTACAATGACAGAAACTTCATGGAGTCTTCCAAATTAAAAAACTGGAACTATTTATTGTATTATGCAGAAACTGTTTTTCTGGTGTTAGTTTTTAAAAGAAAACCTGTATGCTTTTCTCCAGACACAAAATTAACAATTTCTTCCTGAGCACCTTTCAACGGGTTTGGCTGGAAAAGGTTAATGAAAAAACTCAGTATGACAGGCTTATACCCATTTTAATGGTAATGTAACCTGTGGAGAGACCCGCTCACTTTCTGCACACTCCTACTTTCTTGACCATGATTTAATGTTACCATAAAAACACAAATTTGTACAATTTTTAAAGGATTCTGATTGGTCAGACTTTTAAAGAAAGATGGCAAAGGCTGTATTTTAGCAAAACCATGACCACATCTTAGTGAGTCTTGACCTTTTTCTTTCTTTCCTCTCCTTCCTTCCTTCCCACTCCCCTCACATTTTGCAAACTCTTAGCTAATGTTCAGTGGCTAATAAATATCCCCAGGAATCTATCCTGACTGGTAGAGGATGCCATATGCCTGTTCCTCAGTGTCACAAATGCCAGGGTGAGTTAGAGGTGCTGAGGTACATAGAAGTTGTTTTTCATGAAGCAGCAGGCTTGTGCTTTGCCTTCCTAAAGAAAATAAAGAGCACCCTGCTAGTGTGGTTCCTTAGAGAAGGAACTGTTAGTGTGGCTGAGAAAAAACCATTCACCATGGTTCAGATTCGATTATCTGAGCAAGCAACTAGCCTATGGGAAGGACTAAGTCGCTACTGGAAGCAAATAGGAGAGGACTGTTCTTAACCTAATTTACTACTTCTCCCTTGAAGGAAGACCAAATTAGGGCTGCAGTCAGTGCCACTGTTACTTTCAGAAGGTACGCAATCATCTGGGAGCTGGTTCTAGGGCTCTATGAAACCAATGTCTGTGATCTGCTGCTGGCTACCCTGACCAATCAGAGGACAAGAATTGTACAAAAGACTGTCCCACTTACTAACCGTTGTCCACCCAAACTAAAATAATGAGTCCCATGATCCCCTCTTGACCTCACTCTCACCCCTTCTGCTCAGGCACCGCTCTATTAACCTCTTCCTCCATGGCTATCAGAGATTTTGGATAGAAACAGAGGCGTATTCCTTTGAAGAGAAACTAGTACAGGATTTGGCTGTAAGTACTGACCCACTGGGATGCAGATTTGGGTGTGAATGAATTTGATTTTGGATTTCAGGTGTGTGTGTTTTTGTTTCTGTTTCTGTTTTTGTTTTTGCTTGTGTGTGTGTGTGTGTGTGTGTGTGTGTGTGTGTGTTATAATAAGTGAACATTCACAAAGAACTGCTATAAATTTGGAAAGAACTAACTGTGTAAATTCTCAGGGGAGGCCGTGCTAATGGTCATAAGAGCCAGAGGATGAATTTTCGCTTGGAGGTGCTAACACTAATTTCACCCTCATCCTCATCCTCATTGGCAACTAACATCTCTTGGGATGTATAGCCCTGTCGTGGGGAATTTGTGCTGAGTTAAGTTTTGAGCACCACTGGTTGCAGGAGGCCACCTCAGACTGAGGTCCACATTCCAAATGGGTAGCTATATTTTGAGGAAGGCACAGCTAACTATCCTTCCTGAACCTCTCATATCTGTATTGGCCCTTCAGAAAATTTGGTATTGCCTCTCTCTAGTAGACTCCATGCTCTTAAACTCCTTAAAAAAAACACACACACAAGGGGAGAAAGTATATTGCAGAGGTACCACACAGCCTCATCCTGGTTTATAAAATTACCCACCTCTTTTGTAATCAGTCTGTGGTTCTTTTCCCTTCTTCCTATTTTTCTCATTCACTTTTTGCCTTCTCATTTAGTCTTGCCATTACTTCTGTACTGTTTTTCATATTCACTGTTTTCCACATTTCTTTATTTATCACCCTTTGCTTTTTTCCTTCTTTCTTCTTTGTTCTTGCAGCCCTGCCCTCCTACCTTCCATCTGTTTTGATGTCCTTTACTCTTCCCCTATCTTCCTGTGAGAAAGAGTCTTCCTTGGATCCCACTTTCCTCACTAATGTGAAGCTGACAGTGACATTGTGTCAGGCCTCTGATTCTTCTGAACCACTTCACACCTATGCAGTTCCCCACAATTTTCCAAATTTGGTCCACTGTGCTGACTGTCACCACTATAAATTTCATTTCTGCCTTATTTCCCTTTGTGTAAAAGAAGATGTTAAAAAGAGAAGCACAAGGCCTGCTGTCGCAGGGCAGAACCCCTGGGGAACAACTAGAATTTTAACATAGAGTCTGAGGTTAAGAAAGAGACATTGAGCTGTGATGAATCTAGAATCTTCTTAAACCCAAATGGCTCCAGAGCTTTGCAGCACCTTATCTTCATCCTAGTCTCCACCAGAAATTTCAGATATTTCTCAGAGAGACTGTATCTTAGGCAATTCTGTAGGGTTCCCTCCTGAACTTGGGTGCCCAGAGCTTGCATGAGAGTTCTGCTGATTGAGATCTGTAGCTCTTCCCCTAAGGTCAGCCTTGTGCTTTTTCTTTTATTTCATTTAACCTAAAATTGGAATGTTTTTTTGATTGGCTGGAAAAAATACATAAACATAAATATATCCTACCTTGCATCCTCCAGAGAAGAAATACATGGTGTAGTGGCTCCTTTTTTCTGCTTCCAGTCTGTTGCCCTCTGTGCCTTGTGCTTTGCCTTCTCTCTGTTCGCATGCAGTTGTGTGGCACGTGCTGAAACCCATACCTAAAACTTGTTTGTATCATTTGTCTAGAAATCTTCTAAGGTGGAAGAGGAGGAGGAGGAAAATCTGGAAAACCAACCCGACCCACTTCATCAGATCATTCTCCATTTTAGTCGCAATGCGCTCACAGAGAGGAGGTCAGCATCACCCGAGTAGCCCCGTGTCCCAGGCACCAGCTGTGGGTGTCAAACCTACACCCTCCTCATGAAGACAGCACCAGTGGAAGGGATACCAGATCTGAGATGCCCTATTACTTGACCATCAAGCCATGATAGAATTTTCCTCAGCCGTAGTGAAGAATAAATTTGTGTCATTTGTAAAAAAAAAAAAAATGGGTGCATCTGGAGACCATAGTATTCAGTGAAATAAATCAGATACAGAATGTTAAATATCCCACAGTTTCTCTTATATAAGAAACCCAAAGTTGTTAATAATTTAAAGAACAAAATAAAAGATAGATGATAGGGTATAGGGAGGTAGGGCTTATGCCAATGTGGAGCAGAGAGGAGATGAAAGAAATGGGAGGCAGGAGGGGACTGGGACATAAGACGGATTAAGATACAATATGTACATGTACATTAAGATACAATATGTACATAAACCACTTCCCCATGATAAATGTATCTATTCTATGTCACTGATAAAAATGAGACATCTAGAGAAACTTCCATAAAGTTACAGCCTCCTTGTCTTAATGACAGACAGACACTGAATCTGAAGATAAAAGAGCCTAAAACTGTGAATATATCCCTTAATTTTCAGATTTTTCAGAGTGATTTCTAGAAGTCACAATGGGAATATTCTAATGACTTCACTAATTCATATAATTTGAATTTATATGATTTTTAGTGTTTTCTGTGGGGTCCAAAGAGTAGCCGGCTGAATATTTCTTCCATTCTTTCTAGCAAATTGGAAGACGACCCTTTATATACTTCCTACTCCAGCATGATGGCCAAGGTACACCAAGATTTCCTGCACATTACCTCCTTCTGTCTTTCCTCAGACTTCATCAGGCAGATGTAGACTCATGTGAATAAGGGGGCTGAGGCTTGCTCATGGCATATATTTTAGGCATCGTGCAATTCATGTACTGAAGGGATAACTTTGCCAAGTTACTAAGGAAAGTTTGAAACTTCCTTACTATGGCTCCTGGTAACTGGATTCATGCTGCAATTGTAAAATCAGCAAAATGGGGTTTATGTAGAATACTTTTGACATTTGAGTCAGTTTTTAGGATGCAGTTGAAACATGTCTGAAGTGAAGGAAATCAGAGGGAAGATTCCAGTATTCTGGAAGAGGCAGTAACCAGAGGGTTGTCACTTAGAAGGACAGTGTAGTGGCTGGGGAGATAGCTCAGTAGAATAAGCACTTGCCTGGCAAGTGCAAGGGCCTGAGTTCAATCCCCAGTTCCACAAAAAAGAAGAAGAAAAGAAGAAGAAGAAGAAGAAGAAGAAAGAAGAAAGAAGAAGAAGAAGAAGAAGAAGAAGAAGAAGAAGAAGAAGAAGAAGAAGAAGAAGAAGA